CTACCTCGATCGATTTAATGATTAGTCCAATTTCCAATACATTGTAAATAAACATTAGTCAAAATATCAAGTACAATTAGGTTGGCATTAAAAATCCTAAATACAACTCTGTTAAAACAACTATTTATTTATCACTGTCCAATTTTACCTTATTATAAATTTAATTTATAGTTCTTGTTCTCTTTCTAAATTTAATAAAGGTAAAGTTTAAAAAAATTATTTTAGAATGTATTTAATTAATCAACAGTCATTCTTGAGTTCAAGTAATATAATTGAAAGGAGAAATTTTTGCGTAAACCTAATACACCAACATCATTCATGCTATTTCTAATAAAAACATAACATTGATATGTCATTAAATATAAATTGATTATGCTAGTGATGATAATAGAGAGAAAAATGTAAAAAATTACATAATCATTCTATTATAAAAATAATTACACATAAAATTTTATTTAATTAAATTGGTATAATTTTATTGAATATAATAGAGATAATGTGGTGCATCAGGTGCATACAAAAATTTCTCACCAAATCATTGGAGTATATATTATGGGTACCGTTAAATACGTAAAGCCATTAAAATGCCCAATATTCAATAAGTTTAGCTTTTTTAATTAAGTGTCTGATAACTAATTTAATAAAATTAATAATATTTAATACTAAATCAAATGTCATTTATTATTAATTCAAATAACTCCCTGAGCATATATAAATAACCATTATATCTTGCAAAAATAAATAAATAAATAAGAATTAGTCAAAATCTCAAGTACAATTAGGTTGGCCTTAAAAAGTCTAAATAAAACTCTGATATTGAAATTTTTGGTAATATTCCCTGTGATTTTATTTATGAAACATTATTTATTGATCTTTTTAAAATAAGAGGTTTATTTAAATTATTTATAAAATATAGTTTATTTTAAAAAGATTCTGAACATTGTCCTTTTTTTTTTTGGGTTACCTACAAGTATTCTCCAATTAGAGGCTATTTTGTTTGAGGCATCGTCGGTTACCTCTTCTAGTGAGATTTTGAACAATATATTATTTCTTTTGCTTATATAATAAAAACAAGTGTAATTTGAAAGGGATGAATGGTGTTTAACTTAGCAATTGGTGCAAAGGTTTCTTGATAGTCAATGCCATATGTCTATGTGAACCCTCTAGCTACTAAACGAGCCTTCAATTTTTCAAGACTTCCATCGACTTTATAGCTTCTATGATATATGGGCAATTTGGTTATTGAGCTATCCCATAATATTTTGGATGCATAGTTAATAAACAATCAAGATGTTCATCAATCATTTTAGTTAACTGAACAGTGAACACGAAGTGATAAAGGTTAAATATACTTATCCATTCTGTTATCAATATATATATATATATCCATTCCCATTCAATAAAAGGAGGCCAAATTTTTTTCTTTAACCATGTTGGTATTTGCAATGACAAATATAGGCAGGAGACATCTTACCAATATATATATATATATATATATCTCGGTTGGAGACAAAGTCATTGTCATGTTAGAGTTAAGAAATGATTGTTTCAAACTTACATTAATAGTTTTTATTTTATTGCGCATATGTGTCCTAATAGAAACAATCATGCTCTAGACATGACTTGACACTGAATATAGATACTTCTCCCAGTAAAAATTTAAATTAAGGTTCAGCATATTGAGGAAACAAACTCATTTACCTAGACTAAACTATCATCAGTAATAAAATTCAAATTTTATAACTTGTCCAATGTTTGTTTGCTCTCACAAATGCATTTATCTTGCTTGCTTGAAATCTGTCATTGCTCTCACAAATTGCAGGCATATCGGAGAAGGAGATGAGGGTTTTGAAGAGTGGAGTGGTGGAGGTGGTCTACGATGAAAGATGGGCTCTTGAAGAGATATTTCCAATGCTTGCTCACACGTTGAAATCGGAATCGGGATTTTGCAGGAAGTTGTTTAAGATAAAGAATGTTTAAGATGATTTCCTCAGGAGGCAATGGTATGTCGTCACCAGCAGTCACGATCTTCTTCATAGCCATTGCGTGCGAAGAACACATCTCTCCCATGAAAACCTTCGAAATCGAGGATTAGGTGTTGGGGGAGAGCACAGTAGAAATATTGCTATTGTTTTTTTAAGGCAATAAATGGTGACATTTTGGCAGCTTGACCAATCTTTTTTAAATTGCTAAAACGAAGTTTCGCAGTAGCAGCAGCCATTTTACTTTATGCCTCTTCTAATTCCACCTCAAATTATAAAATATTTTTTTAAAAAATCTCACATATTAATAAACTTTATTAAATACACTTAAAAATTTTATTTCTTAAAATAAAAATATAAATTTTTAAAAATACTCTTTATGTAATAATCTTAAATCTACACTTAATTAATATCAAATAGAGATAAAAAGGACAATATTGAAATAATCCTATTTTATTAACAACAATAATAACAACAACCACAACCAAGGATCTAAATTTTATAAATATTTTACTTTATACCTCTTCCAATTTCATCTTAAATTATAAGATATTTTTTAAAAAAATTTCATATATTAATAAACCTCATTAAATACACTTAACAACTTTTTTTAAAAAAATAAAAATATAAACTTTTAAAAATACCTTTCATGTAATAACCTTAAATCTACTATTAATTAGTATTAAATAGAGAGAAAAAGAAAAATATTGAAATAATCCTATTTAATAAAATATTAATATTTTCAAAATATTTTATAATGTGGGATGGTAATTAAATATCTTTTAAAAATATCTTATAATTTAGAATAGAGATAGTAATGTTTATTGGATTTCAAATTTGTTAATGATATATACAATTTTTATTCAGTTGGATTTTGGAGTCTAGGATGCATAGATACCAATTCAGGTATCGTCAATGCATATTTGATATGTCAATACTTTTATTTTAAAAAATATAGGATACAATATGTTTCCAATACATACATATATATTTATAAAAAAATTATAAAAATATTAAAAATATAATTTCAATTCAAAAAAATTCAAACTAGCATACATATATAGTTCTTTATAGTAATACCAAAAAAACATAGTTATTAATTATACTTTTATTCAATTTATGCATAATTGCTTACCACCTAATCCCTGCTAATAAGTATAGTATCAATAATTTCTCTCCCTCGACTGTCATATGTAAAAAAGATAGTTTATTTATTCTATTCATCAAAAGATAAGTTTGCCACTCCTAAAATTTCAGAACCATCAAGGTCATTCCATTCATCTTCACTAATGTCCCATGTCTTTGACTTGTCTTACTTGTATTCTTCAATTTTTTTAGCCAAGAGTCACAAATTAGTATGGATATAAATCAAGTATGTTGCCTTTTTAGGATTTAACTTGTTTCTTTTCATTGAATGAATAAATGAGTAGGTACTCCAATTCTTTTCACAATATGATGATGAGTAGAGCAAGCTTTTGAAGTAAAGGGGTTGTGGAATCATGCATCACCCACCAAAATTTGGGATCTAATGTCTATCTATCTTCAATAAAGTCAAAAGAAATATCAACTTTAAAGTATCGACTCGCAATCTTAGAGTATATGATACATATCGAAAGTTAATTTTTTTAAATTAAAAAAATCATATTCCAATATTTTCTAGATATGAAAAAGCATCGGTATCGATACGGATACGAGAGACAATTTGATGTATCAATGCATCATAATTGAGTAACTTAGAATTATGTTTTCTTTTCAAAATATCTGCTCTTTTCTATGCATATTCAAATATGGCATTAAGGTCTGTTCTACATGTATGTTGCTTTGTGTAAAAGTTTATTTGACCATATAATTAACATTGTCTAAATTTTATCTCTTTTGCTTTTACGACATTTGGACAATTTGGTTATTGAGCTATCCCATAATATTTTGGATGCACAATTAACAAACTCATTTAACTAGACTCAACTACCATTAGTAATTAGTATTAGTAATATAATTCAAATTTTGTAACTTGTCCAATGTTTGTTTGCCCTCACAAATGCATTCATCTTGTTAACTTGATATCTGTCATTGGAGTGGACGGCAAATTACAGCTCTCCTCCTATGAATTTAGACTATAATAGAATTTAGAGCTCTCGTTGTTCTTCGTGAAAATCTTAAAGATCAACTAAAAAATTGATTATCTTAGATAAAAAGCTCATCCATCAATTCTCTACACCAAAAAATTTCCTAACTAGAATAACACAAATACTTGCAAAAGCTTCATTCAGTATTCCCAAACAACATGGAAATTACTAATTCTCAAATTTTTTTTATTATTTACAAGTATCTTGCGATTCAAAGTAATTCTGTTCGTCGAAAACTGAATGTAGACACCTCTCCTAGCATGGATTAATCATTCACATATTTTTATGAAAAGATTTTCCCTATTCCATCCAATAAAATCTGTTTTTAAAAAGAGCAAGCACACCACAAGCCAAGAACCTTGGGTTCAACTGGCAAGATGGCATTTGAACCACGCCTGCAAATGTTTTTACACTTAAAAAAAAAAAAACAAAGAAAAAGCAAGCACAAATGATGTGCAAAAGCAAGCAACTCATATTTGCTTCACTTTTCACCCTCTCATATGATATAAGTATATTACCTAGGCATAAGGTCACAAACAATCCACACACCAGCAACTAAATCATACCCATGTTGGAAAGAAAACAGAACAAACTGCTCTTACAGATATGTCAAACCGTCAAAGGCAGCTACAAGCAACTGATATTACACATAATGCATACATCATTCTAGATAACATCTCTAAAGGTCAAGCCTTATAGGTACAAAATAATCCTAACTGGTAAGGTTCGACGTTCATCAAACGTGCCTAAACTAAGTAAATCTGCAAGATGAAGATGAAGATTTAGGAAACAAACATCTAAAATTCGTAAGCTGTGAGATTGATCAGAGATAGGATAGCTTTTGCTAAATCATTTTCCACTTTGCATCCAATATTATGAATGAGTCCAGACCCTACAGAAAATTTGCCAGTGATTTCATTCCTCCAACAGGAACTAGGCTTTCGGCATAATCGATAACAAGATGGTGATAGTCAAATTTGCTAATAGCAAACACCTTACATTTTTTAGTAGTGAGATTGAAGAGAACAGTAGTTGGTTCATCATTCTCCACTACTTCAACCCCATCTTCAGTATTGCCTCTGGGTCTTGAAACCTTGCAGACAATTTCATTCCTCCAAATGGTCACGGGATATAACAAGCGTGGATAAGGGCTGCTAGTATATTTCTTAGTCCAACTCCATCTCTCCCCAGATGCACCTATACCTTCCTCCATTACCCACAGATCAATAACACAATGTTCTGTGTTTCCAATCACAGAATGAGAAACCATAGCAAGTTTTTCCTCATACACAGTAAGCCATGAAGTAGAGCGTTGCTCAGGTACTGGTATCACTGTAAACACTTCCGTTGCTAGGTCAAATGAAGCAATCCGTTTCTCATCATCATCATATGTATCCAGCCCAACCAAGTTTGACACAAACCAAAACATAACACCATTAACAGTGACACCTTGAGAACTAAGACGTACGCTACCATCAAGCGTAACTTTTACATCCTTCCATATACCTGAGTTTAAAGAATACACTTTCACAGCAGAAAGCTCAATATAATCCTCAAAAACATAAGTTACCACTATCTTGTAGTCATTAATAACTGGACTGAACCCAAATCCTATAAAATAAAAACAATAATCCTCTCGAAAATTAGCTTCGGGTAACAGTCTGATCTCTCTAATCGCTGGATTCCACACTAAAAAGAAATGAGGAGATACATAATACTTATTGATTTCAACAGAGAGCAAGCCATTGCTGGAATCAACGATCTTACCGCGCTTCACATAATCGAGCAAAGGAGGGTGCTGAAATTCCCGGACTTGCATATCGGAATCAAGCAAATATAAGTTTGAAGGAGCATCCCAGCCGTGTAGCTGGGAAAGGAGATAAGGGTTTTGAAGAGTGGAGTGGTGGAGGTGGTCTACGATGAAAGATGGGCTCTTGAAGAGATTTCTCCAATGCTTGCAGACACATTGAAATCGCATTAGGGATTTTACAGGAAGTCGTTTCAGAATGTTTCTGATGATGTCTTCGGGAAGAGATGGTGCGTCGCCATCCACACCCTTTTTCTTCATAGTGCTCGACGGGGAAGAACAAATTTCTGTGAGGGAAGGCTTCACGACCCACAAAGGCATTAGTGATTACAGGATAGGCTCATTTTCGACTTTTTTCCTTCCTTTCTTATTTTTTTTTGGGTAAACTAGCGAGCATTTTCTTTCAAATTTTTTTTAATTGTGTTGTTTCATAATTTTATTTTGCTACAATGTAGATTCTGCCTGCAATTCATTTATTAAAAACACTTATAATCTGCATGAACATAAGTGATAAGTGCATAACCACTTGTGTAATAAAAATGTCATCATAAAAAATAATAACATTTCACAATTACATATTGCAAACAGGCTAACAATTACATTAAAATATATGTTAATAATTCATATTGAGTTCAACGCCATACATAAGAATGGTCTTTGGAAACATTTACTCCCCATACAGTGCACACGGCAAAAAATTACAATACAAAATTAGAAAACTAATCATATTGAATATTAATTGCAAAATAGAATCTTGATACAACTTGCTCTGCTCGCAACTATTATAAATTGAATACCGTATCAGTAGAATGTGGATGAGGATGCGGAGGACTCATCAGAGATTGCTCTGGAACTTTATAGTTGGTTTTAGTCATAGTATGGACCATAGGGATAGTCTCACGGCAGAACTTTGTGGTATTTTTCTTGACATCAGGCCAGCATGGAATGCTGGGTATCGTAAAGTAATCATAGAATCAGATTCGATGTAAGCTATAAATCTTAGCATGAAGGATGATATTTGTTTGCATGCAGAAGTGGACGTTTTGAAGATGATATTTGAACTCATGCAAAGACCTTGAGAAATTCAACTTAACAATCTTCCTCGTACAGCCAATAAAGCTGCTCGTTACTTTGCCCAAAGAGCTTTCTCCTGGCTGGGACCAGTATGTTATTAGTTGTCCTTTTGACACCTTTTTTGTATTATTATCAATAATTAAAACATCAGATCGAATCGGACAGGCAAATCGATCGATAAGATAATGGCTCGATCAAGTTAAAAAAATTGTTTGAGGAGTTGACCGACGGTAGGATCAAAAATTGGGATTAAGCTCGGAATCGGGTCCGGTTTTCAAAATCAGACTATTCAAAAAAATGTCCTTTTATTTTTTTTAAAATTTTTTATCAATTTTTTAAAAAATAACTAGTTTTTTAATCATTTAATGTTATATGATATCTTAAGTCATGATAAACTTTAAATAGTTGGTTTTATTTTTTAAGTTAAATAAAAATTTCATATTTATTTCTTATATTTATATTATTATATTTTTTATTTAATTATTACGTCACTTGTTCAACTATTGGTCCAATCTAGTTGGATCATACGAACTATGAATTGCTGAGCTTTCCAATTTAATGAGCATTCTAGTTTTGAAAACATTGATTCTTACTAAGGATATTGAAATGCCCATGACCTCTAGCTGAGGTTCTGTTTTAAAAAAAAAAAAAACAAAGAAAGCCAAGAAGAATGTGAATGAGGATATTTTGTGTATAAGTATAATTGTTGATCATTTTTAAGAAAAATTAATCTCTTAGCCTTTTAACTCTTACCTCACTTGTAACTCAGTTCTTTATTATGACTCACTGCGACTCAGTCCTTCAACTTTTAATTCATTTATAATTCGATCCTTATTTTTTAATTTTTTTAAATTTCCTTATCAAATAAGAGGAATACAAGAAATGCTCATATATTATTCTAAAATATCCTCCTCTTGCTCTATAATGTGAAATCTAAACTAACATAGACAAAAGAAAATTAACAAAAATTGAGGAATTGAATTATAAGTAAATGAAAAGTTGAGAAACTGAGTCATAAGCGAATCATAGTTGAAAGGCTGAGTCGCAATGAGTCATAGTTGAGAGACTGAGTTACAAGTGAATTAAAAGTTGAAAGATTAAAAGATTAATTTTTTTTAAATTTTAATAATAATTATAAACTTTTCAAAATAGTTTAGCATGCAAAGGAAGTTTGCAGATATTATAAGAGTAAATGGTTTTTATTTTTGTTTGTAAAAAAAATTGTTTTTGATTTCTTGTGCCAGTGCCATCTGTCAAGACATGTAAATAGTTTGAGTACAATGCTTAATTTTTTTTCCCAGAAAAGACGTTATTTTATTAATTTTTTTCAAAAATATTATACTCACTAATTAAAAAAAACAGTAAAAGCATCCTAGAGTTATGATTATAGAAACAAACAAAGACCATTAAATCCTACCATATAACCTATACCAACATATATTGAAATTGATATATACTATATATTTTGCAGCTCACAAAATATTGCCTCGGTTGGTATATACTATTATTTTTTTTAATGCCTACAAAGTCTGACTCAATTTTTTTAACATCTAAAAAAATCTATTTAGGGCTTCAATTGATATGTTGATCCATGGATGCTAGCATTTTTCCCTCCAAAACGCTTGCATCCTCAATCCTGCCAAAGTTGAATTGAATATATTTGCTTCCTTAGTATAAAACTAAAATGATTCTTTCAGATCATATTAATGACCTCAAAGCATAAGAATGGTAATGATGAATGCATAAGATAAATTAATATAGAGGATGACCTTTTCTTTTGTCCAAAAATTTGCAGCATGCAGTAGTCAAACTTCCTGCAAGCTATTAATTTATTACTTTTTAGGAGAAAAATAAAGATAACTTTGTTTAAAAGCTGACCATTTCTTTAGCAGATTTCAGATAAAGTTTACACGTGAATCCATACCTTCTTTCTACGCTGCGTCACCGATCGCTTTCCTCAATATATCATCACATCGAACGTATACATACATTCATGCTCTATATCTGCTTTTTCTGATGACCTTTTCCTTTTGTTAATATATATATATATATATAGCTCCTGCAATGTAAGCCAAAAGATTTTCTGACTTTCTTATTTTAAGTTTCTGCTGCTGGATATGACAGATAAATTAAAGCATGCTAATAATCTTGCTTCAAAGACTCCTGATAATTTGAATAATTCATCGACATATTCACAATCACAAGTCTATTTTTTGATTTTCTTCTTTTTATATAAGTTTTCAGCAACTGTTTGTTCTATGGTTAATACTTAATAAAGCAGCTTGGTGGAGTAAAGTATGCCTTTGGCTATGGTGGAATTTCGGCCATTAAATGCAAATATAACGTTTTTCAACGTTGGGACAATTTACCCTTGTTTTCGAAGCTCACACTGCATTAGTTTAAGCAGTTTTTCTTTTGTTACAGTACCTAACAAGTTAGAAGCACAATCCACAGTAAATGTTGGTCTAATTAATAAAGATTTAACCCATAACTTATAAGATTGTGAGATCAAATCTTATTGCTAATGTGAGAACCTTATTGTTAGGTGATTTACATGTACCTTATGAGTATTATTTTTTAAGTTTGGAGGCATGTTTTGACTTTAGCAAACTTTAAGGATGCAACTCACTTAAACTTTAGCTGATAAATAAAAATAAAAATAAAAAGCTAGAAGCATAAGAATGATTTAATGTATAGACAGGTCAAATTTCAAATTCATCCCTGCTTCTGTTAAAAAAAAATTGATTTGTAAAATTTGTTGTAATGTCCATAGAGAAGTTATTTTGATATTGTGAGGTGAAAAAACATAGACAACTAAATTTGCATTTTAAAAGCTCTTGTAAAGTCCATTAGAAATGACCAGATTTTAATAATTGCATCTTGTGGGTCATTACTTTTCAATGTCTCCATGTAATTAATGAAAGTTCATTTAATGGTTTTACTTTTCAATGTTAACACTAATTCCTTAAAAATGCTCCTCCAAGAAGGTCCAGAAGTACATCCACAAATTCCCATCCAGGGGTTCAGTTTTTTGTTATAATTTTCCCATCTATGGGTATTTCTTTTCTTTGTTCCATAATGCTTAACCTATATCATGTGACCCTGACCATAGATATTGCTAAATTTGACAATCATGAAAAGTTTCTGTAAGGTCATATTCGATAGATCACATATTCACATGTGTTGGCAAACTTGCAGTTGAAAACCAATTGGACTGTCAAAAACCATGGCCATATACATAATTAACTGATTAACTTTCATTTCCATCAATAATGATCCCTTTGACTATAAGCCTCTGAATATTCCACTTAAACATAAATGATTAGTCTTCTAAAGAGTCTTTAGCAGTGCATGATACTCTCTTTCAAGGCCTTATAATGCACACAAATTTTCCTGGAAGTACTGAATGTACATTCATTGGTTACAGCCTAAATCACAAGGGATACAAGTGCATAGCTCCCAATGGTAGGATTTAAATCTCCAAACATGTTACATTGAATGAAACTCACTTCCCATTTAAACATGTTTCTTCATCTACTGCATCACATAACAATACCGAATCTTTGGCACCCATAATAGCTTCCATTCATATTTTGCCTCGTGATCCAACTTTAGTTCTTTCTTCTAATTGAACACCATCTGCAGCTGAATCACTGTCTCAAATAAGTTCTCCCCTGACTCAATAAGTATTGAAATCCCACACTGCTTTTCTAAATGGCTATCTAGAAGATGCTCATGTGCAACAACCACCACCAAATTTAGAGAATCCCGCAAAGTATCCTGTTTGCAAGCTACACAAAGCCTTGCAAGGGCTCCAACTAGTTGCTAGAGCTTGGTTTTATCATCTTGTTGCAGATCTTGTAAGAGTTGGTTTTGTAGCGAGTAAATTTGAACCTTCCTCATTCAAGTCACAGCTACAGATCTCTCACCAATATCTTAGTCCATGTAGATGATGTTTTGATCACAGGAATCCATACGTCTATATTTCCCTGCTAAAGCAATCACTTTATCAACAATCTGCATTAAAAGATATGATGAAGTTGACTACTTTTCAAGGCATTGAAGTTGAGCAAATATATCCTAGATTAAACTTTTCTTAAAATATTTGTGTACCTTACTTTCTCTTAATGGTCCTTTTGAAATTTTTTATATTGTTAATATTATTTATCATATAGGTGTCATTTGAGGTCACATATATAATCAGTGGCGGACCAAGGTGCCCCCACTACCTCCCTCATACAATACAT